TTTCTTTCCTAGATGATTGATTTCAGCTAACTGGATTTCTCCTGAAAGAAGTGTCAAGTGTTTCTTTAGAAAGAACACTTGACGTTTCTAGCAATATATTTGGCACCCAGCACTGGAGCCTCAGGAGCTTGGAGAAGCTACTCACCCCCCCCATACACACCCACCTCCTCCTCCCCACAAAGTCTAAGGCGTTTCGCTGGGCCGAGGCCGGTATTCCCCGTACCGCTGTGCCGATTCTCCGCAGCTTCCAGGGACAGATGTTCCACAGTGCCAGTGCTATCTTTACACATATGGATCCCAAATGCCAATTTAAGATCTGTTGAAAATTCTCCCATTGCTGGTATAAAATATTTGTTTGATTCCACTGAAGACTTCATTTCCCACCATACTAGAGAATGATCTTGAATAGCCTTTGAATGACATACACATTTACACATACAGATATATGTGTGTACACATACACATATGCATAGGTGCACACATGCATATGCACGCACACGTATGCATATATACGCATGCATGTGAATACATGGGTGTGTATGTATATACATGTTTATATACTATGTGCTGGTACAAGGGGCTTGAACTTAGGGTTTCACTCTCTCACTTGCCTTTTTTACTCAAGGTTGGTGCTTTACCACCTTTAGTCACACCTCCACATCCAGCTTTTTGCTGGTTCATTGGAAATAAGGGTCTCTCCAATTTGTCTTCCCAGGCTGGCTTCTTCGGTGCCTGTACTGTAGCCTGAACTCAGGATCTGATCCGGCACTCTTTTAACTTGCCATGCTCAAGGCTGTTGGTGTACTACTACTTGAACCACACCTCCACTTCTGGCTTTGTTTTTGCTACTTCATTAGGGATAAAAGGCTCACATTTTCGACCTGGGCTGGCTTTGAACCTCGACTCCCCAGATCAATCTCACCCTCCTGAGTAGCTGGGATAACAAGTGGGAGCCACTGGCATCCGGCTGAATGATCTCTGAAATGAATCTTCTTGGCCAAATTCATTACAAGGAGATGGAGCACGAACAGAGATGGGCCTGGTCTGTTTCACTGGACACAAGCAATTCCATGGTGCATCCAGCGGCCCCGCTGTCTCCCACGGCAGGGTTACCACCAGGCCTCGGCCGACATGGAGAAGTCAGGTGTCACCTGTGAACCATTCCGTTCACTCTTGTCCAGGACAAGACTCCTGCAGGGCTCAGCCCCCTCTCGCCACAGCACACATCCGTTCCCTTCCTCATCTAGCGTGGACGTGATGGGTGGATGAGATGGAAAGGAGCCTGGGCCTGCTGACCAAGGGGGGGCTTGCCCTGCCGGGCCACGGCGTGGCAGATGGCCCTCGGGACGCTTCCAGACCCAGCCTGCCGCCTCAGGCGCGAGAGGGCACTGTTACAGTTTCTGCACAGCGCTGGAGCGCAGTACAGAATAAAAGCACACAGCAATTGTGCCACTTGTCCAGGAAACATGACAACCTGACAATGGGGGCTAATTGGCTAACACCGAAAGCAGCCAGGCCCGGTTCTGACTGTGAGTGAAGAGCGATTTTCCAAAGCAGGGTCAGGACGCAGGCCGGGTCACAAAGGAGAGCACTGGGCAGGCTGTGGACGGGAGGGCGCAGAGGGCCGGCCCAAGGGGCCAGCGGAAAAGAATCGTGCTCTTCAGCCGAGGGCTGGCTCACATGCACCGCCACTGCCCTGGCTTGAGGGACAGTGTCCACAGGACAGGGTCGTGGCTTGGAGGACAATGTCCACAGGACCCTGTCGTTACCATGGGAACAGATGGATGCACACCCTTCCTCTGAGCTCCTTGAATAGGGAGCGGAGGAAATGAATACACCACATGCTCCCCGTGTGCAGCACCAGCTCAGGACACCTCCCTCACCAACGCAGACTTCAAAGGGGTTCTGAGGCCTCTTCTTGTGATCATCATGCGACGGGGCACACCGCCGAGGCTCAGGGAGGTGAGATACCGTGTAACACATGTGAGTGCGAGCATTTCCTGCCGTGAGCCCTTCTTGCCAGTCTGCCTGTGCCAAGTCTCCCAGCGGGCAGATCCTGCCAACACATCACCTACACAAGTAGCTGCTCAATAAATGCCTTCTGGAAACAGAACTAAATTGACCCTCACGTGGAGGTGGCAAAGAAGCTCAAACAAGGTAGAAGCAATGTAGGAAGGCGGATTCCAAGAGCAGAGCAGCTGGGGTTGGCCATGCTGGCCCTTTTGCAGGGCACACACAGACACAGCTACGAAGGAAGCTGAGACAGAGCAAAGCAACCCAATTAGCCAGCTGGGAGAAAACTAGGTCTGAGCACAAAAAGCCAAATGAAAGCGTCAGGCACTGAATTCAAGCCACAGTACAGGCATCAAAAATTTAAAAAAAAAAAAAATAACAAAAGTGTTGAGATCCATGGCAGTGTTCAGGTGCTGTACTAGTGACAAGCACTGAAACAGACAGGCTGAGTGCCTAAACCCAGACTCCGTGTTCTAGAAGTTAAGTCTGTTGGGTAGAAGCTGTCTTCACACACACTCGCACTCACACATTCACACACTCATGCATGCACTTGCACACACATTCATACACTTGCACACACATGTGTGTGCGCACACACACACACACACACACACTGGTGCTGTGGAATAGAACGGATAGATTTCATCTTTCCTTGCTGAGTTGATTCCTAATAGTCTTGGGAGATGAAAGAAAGGCTTTCTGGAGGAGAGGAGTGAGGTGTTAAGGGATGACCCTAGTGAAGGGTTATGGGGTAGCTGGAGGTAGGGGGTTACGGGAGCCAGACCTGGCCCGCCAAGAACCAAGGCCTGTGATATTATTCCAGGCCAAGGGGGAAGCAGCCAAAAGCAGAGGCATAAATGGTCCACGGAGCATGAAGTGTCTCCCACTGGGTCCACACTGTGGGTCAGGAAATGGCATTGAAGTCCAGGCAAGGGCCTGGGCCAGGGAGCCCAGCTCAGGGTCAGACTTCACCTAGCAAGATGTGATGGGTTCTGATTGCTCACTGCAGAGCTGGGGAGGGTTGTGGTCAAGGTGAGGACAGACGTGGGAAGATAGGAATTGAGATGGCTGAGAGGCTGGTGCTGGGGTTCATGGTAGGAGGGAGCAGAGCAGCTTTGGGTGACATTTTCAGCCTCAAGTCCACAAGAATCAGTGGTTGATCACGTTGGACGAGAGAGGCTAGACAGCACTTATGGATAGAATCTAGAAAAAAAAGTCAAACTTTGCAACGGAGAATAAAATGGGGGTGACCAGCAGTTGGAAAGTGGAAGATTGGGGGAGATGTTGTGGAAAGCATGTAGAATTTCAGTGAGGAAGAATGAATTTGTAGATAGTGGTGACTATGGTGTATTATATACTTAGAATTACTAACAGGGTAGATCTCAAGTGTTCTCATCACAAAAGACAGCAAGTGTATGAAGTTTTAAATCTAAGGGTGTGGTTAAGGGTAGAGAAGAATGATTTTAAAAGGGCTCAGGCCAGTGCCAGCGGCTCACACCTGTAATCCTACTTACTCAGGAGGCTGAGATCTGAGGATCTCGGTTCAAAGCCAGCCTGGGCACGAAAGTCCATGAGACTCTTATCTCTGATAAACCACTCAGAAAACCAGAAGTGGTGCTGTGGTTCAAGTGGTAGAGAGCTAGCCTTGGGCTGAAGAACTGAGACAGCGCCCAGGCCCAGAGTTCAAGCCCCACCACCGACAAAAGAAAACAAAACAGGCTCAACACCTCCAACGGTTTTTCATTACCTCTGCCCATATTACAGTGCAGAAGAACTGTGAGCTGAGCTGTGTTCTGAGCAAACAAACACACGGGAGTGGCACCGCCTGCACCCACGGTGTCTGGGGCTCTGTGGCTCAGGAGGTTTGCTACGCTGCCTTCCATTAGCTAAGAAGCACCTGTCCCTCTGTCTTTGCTTTCTTCACAGCCTTCAGCAGCTCTGTCATTTTCTAAAACACCCTGGTGAGAACAGCACCATACAGACAGCAACATTCCACCTGCCCAGCAGTCCCCAGACCTGTGTCCTTCCTCCCCTTAGGAAAGCTAAAATGCCCTCTCTTTCCTTCCCAGAGACCCCAGCATGCGGATGCAGGGCGGGAGGCTCGGAGCTCCAGCTGGTGGATCCTGGGAAGTGTCTGGCTGCACGTTAGAAAGACACGTTTTGGAATCCGAGTGTTTAGAGAGAAAGGAGAGAACCATGGCTGCAGGAAAGAGCGCTTGTTGTTAAATATTCATGCTCTGCTCGCTGTTAATCAAAATCACCAACCCCTGTGGCTTAGTTGCAGTCTTGCTGGCTTCTTACTATTATTGTACTGAAGGAAATTGGGCAGAAAACCACACACACACACACACACACACACACACACACACACACACACACACACACACACACACACACACACACACACACACACACACCAAGATTTGGGGGCTTTAGATTTGAAGTACTTCTTTTTAATATCACACAATTCAGCACTATTTGCTCTGAAATATTGAATGAGGTACACTTATTCCTCCCATTTGAATCTTAGAAAAGAAAAACCGGTTTCACTCTTCCTTTGTTAAATTTGGTGAACTTTGTCCTTATTGTCAGAAAGAATTCTTCAAGTTCCTTGTAGAATATACTACATCATTTTTCACAAATGACAGTATGTTTTGATAAAATAGAAAATAATTGGACTATAACTGAATAAAGTAAGGCAATAAAATCATAGGATTAGCAATAACTTTGAGGCTGTATTTCCTGAACTTACAGGAAATGAACATTTAAACTTTTTGTTTGTTGATCAAATTTAAAAAGCCGTGGGAATCTTAAAAATTATCACTTAATGTAAAAAGAGGAAGAAAAACAGCTCTTAATTAAAAACTGCTTCTGTAGCTCTATTTTTCAAACTTTCTATGATGACTATGTCTACTATTGTAATAAAGGTAACCAATGCTCAATTAAAAAACAAACAAACATTGAGAACATATCCTTGTCTTCTTTACCTGTATCATCTGCTAGGGAAATGGTGGTGAATGTGCTCTCCTCCTCCTCCTCTTCCTCCTCTTTGCTGGAACCGTCCATCTTGTTCGCTTCTCAGGAAACAGGGTCAAGAAACGCTGCGGTTGTCCTTCCCCATCGCCCTGGTTAAATGGTTAACTGAGCTCTTGGCAGGTGCTCAGGGATCCTGCCCAGCCAGCCCCTTCCTGCTCTCCACCTGCCCAGCCCAGCCAGCCCCTTCCTGCTCTCTACCTGCCCAGGTCGTACCTGAGAGGCGTAGTCACAACCGGAAGTGAGGAGATCCTTGTTAAAGAGTTACAGGCCTTTACCTGAGGCTTCCCTGGCCTGCTGCTCAGCCTTGGACCCCCCACAACCCTCAGCTTCAATCCGAGGATGCCAGTTTCTGTGGTCTGGATTGCTTCAGGAAACTGCTTCCCCAAAAAGCATTAGAATGAGGTGGAGGAGGAGAAGTTGACTTATATGATGAGCATATCTCATATCAGCTGCCCAAGGACAAACGCTCAAGGATTTGATCGAGGACCTAGCAGGACTTGGGGGACAAGTTGCCTCCCTTCTGTGTGATTTGAGAATACATCCATTGTCAAGGATTCGATTCAGGATGCCTGGCACCGAAGGTGAATCTGATTAATGCCGACTGCAATGATAATCACAGAGGAGCAAACACGTGAAGAAACTAGAGTCTCTATACACCCGGCTCACCTGTACCCACTCACAATCCTCTACCCACCCCTCCCTACAGCAATCCAGCACAAGAACTGAATCTCCCTTCTCTGTGTCTGCAGTTGGGCCCACAGGGAAGGACGCTGGCCTCACTTCCTCCTCCTAGACTCCTATAGTCCACTGTGGTATACATGCAAACCCCACACAGTTTCAGAACTGTCACATCTCACTCCCTGGAGCGGGTACGACCTGGGCAGGTGGAGAGCAGGAAGGGGCTGGCTGGGCAGGATCCCCGAGCACCTGCCAAGAGCTCACCTAATCATTTAATCAGGGCGATCGGGCAGGACAACCGCAGCATTTCTTGACCCTTTTCCTGAGAAGCAAACAAGACGGACGGTTCCAGCAAAGAGGAAACATTTTAAACAGATATTAAAGTTGGGTTACTACAAGCTACATTCTGCAATAAGTGCTTTGATAAATGAGATTATCTTATCCACCCCAGTGCATTGTTGCTCTATCAAGCAAAATGGATGTGAGCTGTTGGAATGCCTGTGTGTAAAAATTAAATTCACTAGAATAAAACTCCCCTTATTTTCAATTACATTCTACAAATACTGCGTACCCGGCCTACAGAAGCGGGGCACTTACAAGGAGTTCAGTGTAAGAGATTTTGTTTATTGGCATTAATAAGCCTGTAAAGACAAAGGTCCTGGAGACTTAGAGACTGAGGGGAGGGTATTCGTGTTCAACACTGAGATAAAACGCCCAAGAAGCCAGCTGGAAAACAATGTCAATCTAAGCTAGGTGCTAGAGGCTGATACCTGTAATTCTAGCTACTTAGGGGGCTGAGACGAAGTTGGTCCTAGGCCATCTGGACAAACACACAAGAGGCCTTCTTGGCCAATATCTAGGCAGAGTACAATGAGGCTAGCATCCTAGTGACTATAGGCCCTGAATCCAAATGCTAGTACTGCCCAGTAAAGAAAGAGAAAACAAAAATAGCAAAACCACAATGAGAGGCCGCTTCATACCTACTAGGGTGGACTTAATTAAAAACCAAAGACCTGGGTACTGGTGGCTCACGCCTGTCATCCTAGCTACTCAGAAGGCTGAGATCTGAGGATCTCGGTTCAAAGCCAGCTCAGGCACGAAAGTCTATGAGACTCTTATCTCCAATAAACCACTCAGAAAACCAGAAGTGGCACTGTGGCTCAAGTGGTAGAGTACATGCCCTTAACTGAAGAGCTGAGGGACAGCGCCCAGACCCAGAGTTCAAGCCCAACAGACCCCCCCCCCCAAAAAAAAGTAAAAATAAGTGTTGGTGAGGATTTGGAGATGTGAGGGGATTGTAGGCATGAAAGAGGTGTAAATGAAGTAGTCACCAGGAGAAAGTTTGACACTTCCTGAAAAAGTTAAACAGTTAGCGTAGGAACCAGCAATTCTACTCTTAGGGATACACCCAAGAAAATGAAATCATGTCCCCACAGAAACATACACACAGCATTTATCTTAGCACAACATGTAGTATCCAAAAATAAGAAACAGTTTTACATGCCCAGCAGTAGACGAATGGAGACAGAAACTGTGATAGACTCAAGGGGTATTATTCAGAAATGCACAACTACAACTTAGATGAACCCCAAAACACATTGAACATACTAAATAAAAATTGAACAAATCCCTTTTCTACTGCGTGTTCAGAACGGGTGAGTCTGCAGAGGCAAAAAGCAAACTGGCAGTTGCTGACGGATGGGAAAGGCAAAACAGGATGGATTCCTTAGGGGATGTGACATTGAGGGTTTGAACACAGTTTGAAACATGGGAGAAGCTGCGGTTGAACTGTAGTAAGGATACATATTATATAAGGATATTATAAACTTCAACTTTTTTAAAAAAGAAATCCAAAGAGGAAAAGTTTAGCTCTGGTGTGTTTTCCTCTCCACTGTGTGTGTGTGTGTGTGTGTGTGTGTGTGTGTGTGTGTGTTTGTGCGCACACACGCACACACGCACACACACACTGGTGTGAATGAACTGTTTATAACTATGGTAACTCATAATATATGTGCAATCTCAGATTCAACGTAAAACTAGTCTGCTGCCTGTCTAGAATTCAGAGGAGTCAACTGTGCCTATTGCAGAAGCAGTTAACCTCCTTTTGAAAGGCTGAATAATATTCCATCACTTGTCAGCAAACACTGCAAGGCTTCACTTATACAAAGGCCTAAAAGAGTCAAACTCATAAAATCAGAGTTAAAATGGCCACCGCGGTGGGGGAAATGGCTGTTGAGTCTCTATTCTGCAAGACAAATAACTCCTAGCAGTGTGTCACACACAACTGTGCCTTCAGTTTGCAAGACTGTGGGGCACACTTTGAAATTTTCAAGAAGTTCAAGAAATTTGTCTTAATCTCATGTTAAGAGCTCTTCACAATGAGTGCAAATTAGGGAAAAAACAATTTAGCTAAGAGTGTCATTTTAACTTTCCCCCCCTCAATTATACTGTTTTCAAAGAATTCATGTTTGAATTTTCATGGATATTTAAATTATATGTCTTTCAAACAGTGGATCTGGTTTCAGTAAATATACTTTAATATGCTAATAGCCCACATCAAGGCAGGAGTCTGTAACATAAACAGTTAGCTTTAGCAGTAGGGTGATAAGTGGGAACATAATTCTGGCTTCACTGATGGTGAATTCCTCCTGAGATATTAGATTCTTCAACAACAGAAACAAACAAGTAATACATAAATAACTGAAGCTGGGTGCTGGTAGCTCATGCCTATAATCCTAGCTCCTCAGGAGGCTGAGATCTGAAGATAGTAGCTCAACCCTGTGAGATTCTTTATCTCCAATTAATCAGCAAAAAGTTGGAAATGACAAAGCATTAGCTTTGATCAGAAAAGAAAAGCTAAGAGGGCAAGGTACAAAAAAAACCTGCTTAAATAAATATGAAAAAGAATATTCATGTAAAGGGGCTTGTGGCATGAGTGCAAATCTAGTTTAACAGAACTTCATAGCAACCAGTAAAGCAAAAATGTAGTAAGTAAGATGTCTTGTGGTTCAACACCACAGCCAGGGTTCAACAATGTTGCTTCGTGGTTTTCTTTTTTGTTCAGGTAGTGGATGCAAGCAGAGCGGAGCCATTTCGTCCACTATCCATCCAAGCCAATGATCCTTCCACGAGCTTCAAGAGGAAACACTGGATTTCTCTACACACTTCCTGCTTGGGAAACACAAAACTTAAGCCAAGTTTAGCACATTCTGACTTACACATTGTATGAAACTTAGAGTGAGCATATAAAATTGCCTAGATTCACCACATACCTAATTCACAAACACCTTCCGTGAATGAAACAAAATGCATTCCATCACAAAGCTCGGGCCGTGTACCTCAACACATCTGCATGGCAAGGAGAGACGTCGCATGAAGAAAATCAACCTTGGGCCTGGCAGACAGAGAGGGGTGAGGTATGGAGGTTATTTGACCCATTACAGGAAGGAGGCCTGGCAGATGGCGGACCCTGGAGAGGGTGAGAGCATCATCTTAAGGAAGAGGATCCACAGAGAGGTCGCGGGCACACAGCCCTGCAGGTGGGAGCTGGTTTGGCCTGCCTGAAGAGCATGTCTACCTGCAGCTAGGCCCAGAAACAAGCAGCTGAGGGACAGAGGGGAGGCTTGCCAGCCCTCTGAAGTGTCCGGGTGTCACCCTGCTGCGGGGCAGGACATGAGAGAGGAGAGTGATGTGAGTTGTGGGCACAGACGTCGCCCTGGCAGAGCTGCCTGAGCAAGGACGTGGGATCTGATATCCACCCCCCCTCCCTGTGCTTTGCTGACCAAGCCGCACCCCAAGCCCGCAGGTGAGTCTTTCTCTGTCTTTTCTATATGTCAGCAGTGCCCTGCATGGAAGCAGCTAGAACCTTCTCTATTCATTTCTAAGTTCTTGAAAATCTGCCATGTCCGTTTCCATCCTAGACCTTTATTTATGCTAACACCCTCCAAAGTCGGTTGCCCCTAATCATTAAAGTATGTCTGCTTTATGAATAAGAAATGCAAAGTCCAAAGGCTCATATCTATAATTCTGGGCATATGGGAGACTAAAATGAGGAGGATCAAGGTTCCAAGCCAGCCTGACAGAAAAACACCCAAGACTCACAGTCAACAGGAACAACTGGGCGTGGGGGTGAGTGCCGGTCATCCCAGCCTACAGGCAGATTGTGGCTCAGGCAAGAAGCAGAACTCTCAAATATCATCAGTTGCCAAAGGGCTGCTCTGCTGTACAGCCCCTGCCTGTCAAGCATCCTGAGTTTCAACCTGAGTACCGCTGAAAAGAAAGAAAGAGCCCTAAAGCCCGAACCCCACCTGATTGCAGGGAGAGCTCACTGAAGCTCACTTGGAGCCATGAAATGGGTTCTTGGTGTGAGTCAGAATCCTGGTCCTCCTGTATCTTGGTGTGAGGCTGGCTAGGGCCAGCCTGGCCTAGTTATTCTGACTCTCTAGCGCCCTCTGGTGGATAGATTATCTGAACATTAATTTGGGGA